CTAACCAACTTAACCTGACCTAACCTAACCTAACCAAACTAACCTAACCTAACCTAACCTAACCAAACTTAACTTGACCTAACCTAACCTAACCACAACTTAACCTAAACACTAACCTAACCTAACCTAACCAAACTTAACCTAACCTAACCTAACCTAACAATAACCTAACTTACCTAACCTAACCTAACCTAACCTAACTTAACCTAACCTAACCTAACCTAACATAACCTAACTTAACCTAACCTAACTTAACCTAACCTAACCTAACCTAACCTAACCTAACCTAACCAAACTTAACCTAACCTAACCTAACCTAACCTAACCTAACATAACCTAACTTAACCTAACCTAACCTAACTTAACCTAACCTAACCTAACCTAACATAACCTAACTTAACCTAACCTAACTTAACCTAACCTAACCTAACCTATCCTAACCTAACCTAACCAAACTTAACCTAACCTAACCTAACCTAACCTAACCTAACCTAACCTAACCTAACCTATCCTATTCTATCCTAACCTAACCTAACCTAACCTAACCTAACCTATCCTAACCTAACCTAACCTAACCTAACCTAACCTAACCTAACCTATCCTAACCTAACCTAACCTAACCTAACCTAACCTAACCTAACCTATCCTAACCTAACCTAACCTAACCTAACCTAACCTAACCTAACCTAACCTATCCTAACCTAACCTAACCTAACCTAACCTAACCTAACCTAACCTAACCTATGGCACCAATCTTGATCACAATTTTTACTCTTGTAATCTACCTTACCGTCACTAATCTCCTGCCCTGGCGTACCCCTGCGCCTCCTACCCTACCTACCCTGCCGGCCTATATGGCAATTTAAAATTTAACGATTAACTAGATTTTAATGATAATCCCTCTAATTGACCTTGTTGACAGTCCTGTCTTCAACCCAGATTTATTCTTTAATATATTTTTTTTAGATAAACTAACCTACTGTATTAACATAAGTCACATTGTATTAACGCGAATGTAAACAAGTTGGGTCGTGAACCCATGGCGAGGGTGTAGTATTAAAACTCTGAGGCTATGGGTTCGAACGCCACCCGTTCTGTGATTTAGTACCAATTTTGGCAATAATTTTAAACTTGTATTAGCTCCTGGTCGCACAAACCTCTATTATGGAACATCCCCACACCTTATATGTTTTAAAATGCTTATTTAATAATAATAATAATAATAATAATAATAATAATAATAATAATAATAATAATAATAATAATAATAATAATAATAATAATAATGGCTGGATAACACAATCATTCCTCTGGGATATGCCTTTGTTATACCTTTGATGAGTTTTGAGAGTTTTTCTACTCCGGAGCCCGGCCATGGGCCAGGCTTGTCTGGTGCGTACCTGGTCAACCAGGCTGTTGCTGATGGCGGTCCGCTGACCCACATCAGATAAAGACCCGCAAAGGCGTTTTCACTCACACACACACACACACACACACACACACACACACACACACACACACACACACACACACACACACAAACAAACAGGCCATTACAAAAGCAGGAAACAGAGCAAACAAGTTACTGATAACAGGAAGCAAAGAAGAGAGGAGAGGAGACTTAAAAGTAGCTGGTTACTGCGTCGTTGTCAAGTGAAAAATAAAAGATTACGTTAGTTTTATAAGCGGGTCCCTACCAACCTATCTTGACTAACATTGCCACATTATACACTCTATCTCCACCTTGAAGGCTGAGTGACTGACTCTCTGTGTTTTTGTTTGTTGACGGAAGGGAGGAAAGGAAGGTAGAAGAGGAACGACAACGATAACAGCAATAACAGCAACAAAAACGATAATTACGACAATAAATACAACAATAACAACGGTGACAACACCAACATCAACCGTAACAACAACAGCAACAACGGTAACAATAATAATAACGATACCAACAACAACGGCATAACAACAAGCTAAAAAACCTAAGTAGACGTTGACTGGATAATATATAACTATTAATTGGCCCTGGAGGATCAAAACACAAAAGACCCCAACAGTGTGGCTTTTGTCCACTGGAAGGCCGTCAGGTACTCTTACTCCCCAGCACTCCACTAAAACCCAGGCACCTAGCCAATGCTAGGTGAGCAAGGGAAGCAGGTGTCAGGATGGCCACTGCTCTTACGTCTTCTCTTCCCTAAGAATTAAACTTAGCGATTGCGTAGTCATACAGACTTATGGGTAAGATTTCGTGCCATCTTCAAACCACACATTTATAAGAGACGGTGAGTACACACACACACACACACACACACACACACACACACACACACACACACACACAAACAGGCCATTACAAGAGCAGGAAACAGAGCAAACAAGTTACTGATAAGAGGAAGCAAAGAAGAGAGGAGAGGAGTGCTGTACCAATCTCACCACACTGGACAATACCTTGGCGTCCAGCTTGCTCTAGACTTTGATCCAAGGCAGCCAGCTTTCGGGGAGAAGGCTTACAGCTTTTCATCCTGATGCATGCAGGGGATGAGATGAAAAGCTGTAAGCCTTCTCCCTGAAAGCTGGCTGCCTTGGATCAAAGTCTAGCGCAAGCTGGACGCCAAGGTATTGTCCAGTGTGGTGAGAATGGTATAATACTGCTTACCTTGTTCCAAGGTTCGTAAGTTCGAGTCTCCTTCAGTCAGAGATCAGTGTTTGTATATATATATATATATTATATATATATATATATATATATATATATATATATATATATATATATATATATATATATATATATATATATATTGTATATTACAGGCCATTAACAGGAGTTACAGCTGTCAATAAGATTTAGAGGCCGACAACAGAAGCTAGAGACCTCCAGCAGAAACTACAGGCAGTCAACAGGCGTTACAGGCCGCCAACAGAGGCCAAGTTCATCACTGTTTAATACACATCACCGTTGTATTAACCAGGACTCCCACAGATACAACAACCTCATACAGATATAACAAGGCACCCACAGATATAAACGAGGCATCCACGAATATAAGCGAGTCACTCACAGATATAAGTATGGCACCCACATATATAAGTGTGGCACCCACAGATAAAACCAAGACACCCATAAATAAAACAAGGTACCCACAGATATAAGTGTGGCACCCACATATATTAGTGTGGCACCCACAGATATAAGTGTTGCACCCATAGATATTAGTGTGGTATCCGCAGATATAAGTGTTGCACCCACAGAAATTAGTGTGGCTCCCACAGATATTAGTGTGGCACCCACAGATATTAGTGTGGCACCCACAAATAAGTGTGACATCCACAGATATTAGTGAGGCACCCACAAATATTAGTGTGGCACCCATAGATAAATGTGGCACCCACAGATATTAGTGTGGCACCCACAGATATAAGTTCAGCACCCACAAATATTAGTGTGGCACCCACAGATATTAGTGTGGCATCCGCAGATATTAGTGTGGCACCCACAGATGTTAGTATGGTACCCTGTCTGATAGTTTCATATTCCGCAGGACTATGGTGCTGCCCTCTCTAGGCCTACCCAGGTTAGTGAGACGCAGAGCCTACCCGCTCTCACTTCACGGCCTACCCTCACGGGTTTAACAACCTCCTCTCCACGGACTGACTGTTGGTCATCCCCTCACTTTGCCCGTTGTGTACTCACTCCTTTTCAATTAAAGCCAAACTAGTCTACGGCCGTATCTCTGCAACCTACACTACACCTTCAACACTAAACCCCTGTTCAACAACCCACAGATATAAGTGTAGCACCCACAGATATTAGTGTGGCACCCACAGATATTAGTGTGGCACCCACAGATATTAGTGTGGCACCCACAGATATTAGTGTAGCACCCACAGATATTGGTGTGGCACCCACAGATATTAGTGCAGCACCCACAGATATTAGTGTGGCACCCACAGATATAAGTGTGGTACCCACAGATATTAGTGTGACACCCACATATATTAGTGTAGCATCCACAGATATTAGTGTGGCACCCACAGATATTAGTGTAGCACCCATAGATATTAGTGTGGCACCCACAGATATAAGTGTGGCACCCACAGATATAAGTGTGGCACCCACAGATATAAGTGTGGTACCAAGAGATGTAAGTGTGGCATCCACAGATATAAGTGTGGCACCCACAGATATAAGTGTGGCACCCACAGATATAAGTGTGGCACCCACAGATATAAGTGTGGCACCCACAGATATAAGTGTGGCACCCACAGATATAAGTGTGGCACCCACAAATATAAGTGTGGCACCACAGATATAAGTGTGGCACCCACAGATATAAGTGTGGCACCCACAGATATAAGTGTGGCATCCACAGATATAAGTGTGGCACCCACAGATATAACCAAGACACCCACATATAAAACAAGGTACCCCCAGATATAAACGAGTTACCCACAGATATTAGTGTAGCACCCACAGATATTAGTATGGTACCCACAGATATAAGTATGGCACCCAGGGATAAAAGAGGCTACTAGCAGGTGGCACTGACCACCTCTCCTGCATACTTTCTAAATCCAAATTTATCCGATCTAAATCCAATATTTCGTGTTCTTCCATGGTTGGATATCCTCAGTATCCTGTTCGTGGCTTTCATTTTGTTTACGCCTGTCTTCTACTTGTTCACTACTATGATAAAAGCAGTAGGTGGATGGCGCTGTGCTTCTACAGATATGAATGACCATCAGTAGGTGGGAGCCGCCCACGGGTGCGATTGACCGTCAGTGGGTGGCAGAGGCCGCCCACAGGGTCGACAGCCGCCAGTGGGCGGTAGGGTGTTCGGCACTGCTACGGTACATAAGGAGGGTGAGGGTAAGGGTTGAGGATGAAGGGTGAGGGGTGAGGGGTGAGGGGTGAAGGGTAAGGGTGAGGGTGGTTCTCAACCTACTTTAATAAATTCACCTTCAGCCAAGGCCAGCGTAAGACAACGTGGTGCGTCCCCTACCTCCTGTACTCAACATGCGCCGCTTATCTTGTCGTAGGAGCACCTGAAGAGCGGCGACGAGGGCGTGTGTGGTGCTGGAGTGGGCGTGTGGCAGGGTGACACTCCGATAGGGTGTCAGGCGCGGCGCAAGGGAGACCACAACACGAGGCAGACGCTGGACAGGAGCACACACCAGTAACACCATCCACGCCGACCGTTCCAGTGCGTCTGACTACCCGTCCTGCCCTCCTACCCCTACCTATCCTAAACACACACACACACACGTACACACACACACAAACACACACACACACACACACACGTACACACACAAACATCACAAACACACGCGCGCGCACACACACATACACAAACGTCGCTATTTAGGCTTACTTGATTACCAGTATGTGTTTGAGAGTGCTGCATATACTCGGATGTACCCGAAAGGGATCAGGTCTCAGCTCCTGGCCCTTCCTCCTAACCCGGGCAAGGATTAGGAGACATAATGCCATATATCTGAAGCTCTTGTTCTTCTATCAGTAAACAGAAACCTAGAAGTTAGTAGACTAGCATGGCTGCCATCTTAGAAGAGGAACCTTAACCAAAATACGATTCAAAGGAGACTGTTACTAAGTCGAAGACGAAATTTTCATCATTATTAAACAAATATAAGTACGTGTATTTAGGTACAGGTACACATAAGAACAATTATCTCACATGGTGTAACATATATGTAAATTACCTGGGATAACCCAAAACCAAGAAGTCAAAATCCTTGTTATTGTAGTTCTTGTGATTGTGGTACTTGTGATTGTGGTACTGTGATTGTGGTACTGTGATTGTGGTACTTGTGATTGTGATACTTGTGATTGTGGTAATGTGATTGTGATACTTGTGATTGTGGTACTTATGGTTGTGGTACTGTGATTGTGGTACTGTGATTGTGGTACTTGTGATTGTGGTACTGTGACTGTGGTACTTGTGATTGTGATACTTGTGATTGTGGTACTGTGATTGTGGTACTGTGATTGTGATACTTGTGATTGTGGTACTGTGATTGTGATACTTGTGATTGTGATACTTGTGATTGTGGTACTTATGGTTGTGGTACTGTGACTGTGGTCTTTGTGATTGGGGCCCTTGTGACTGTGGCCCTTTGGGGATTGTTGGTTCCCTTTGTGACTGGGTCCTTGGATTGTGGCCCCCTTGTGCTGGGGCCCCTTGTGATTGTGGTCCTTGTGACTGGGGGGCCCCTTGTGATTGGGGTCCTTTTTATTGTGGTCCTTGGGGACTTTTTTGGGGGGTCCTTTTTGATTGCATTTACTGTGATTGTAGAAATTGTGATTGGGGTCCTCGGTGTTTGGGGAATTTTTTCCTTTGTGTTTGTAGCCCCTTGTGTTTGGGCTTTGGGTGATTGTGGTACTGTATTGTGATACTTGTGATTTTTGAATACTTTTTGATTGTGGTACAAAAGGTTTGTGGAAACTGTGACGTGGTCATTGTGATTGTGGTCATTGTCATTTTTGGTAAATTGGGAAATTGGGGTCTTTTGTGATTGTGGTCTTTGTGATTTAGCCCCTTGTGATTGTTTTTCATTATGATTGGGGTTTTTTTGGATTGTGGTCATTGTGATTGTACCCCTTGTGATTGTAGTCCTTGATTGGGGTTCTTTTGGTGATTGGGGTCATTGTGATTGTGGTCATTGTGTTTTTTGGCCCTTTGGGTTTTGTGGTCATTGTGATTGTAGTCCCTTGGGGATTGTGGGCCCCAGTGATTTGGCCATTTTTATTTGGGGTCTTTGGGTGATTGTAGCCCTTTTTGTGATTTTTTTCCTTGTAAAGGGGGGCCCTTGTAAATTTTTTGGTTTCATTGTATTGTAGCCCTTGTGATTGTAGCCCCTTGTGATTGTCCCCCCCCGGTTTGGGGGTTTTCATTGTGATTGTGGTCTTTGGGTGATTGGGGTTTCTTTGTGTTTGTAGTCCTGGTGTTTTTTGGTCTTTGTGTTTGGTAGCCCTTTGGGTGATTGTAGTCCAAGTGATTGTGGTCATTGTGATTGTGGCCCTTTGTGATTGTAGCCCTTTGTGTTTTGTAGCCCTTGGTTTGGGTGGTCCAAGTGATTGTGGTCATTGTGTTTTTTGGCCCTTGTGATTTTTAGCCCTTTGTATTGTAGTCCTAGTGTTTTGGGGTTTCTTTGTGATTGTGGCCCATTGTGATTGTAGCCCCTTGTGATTGTAGTCCTGTGATTGTGGTCATTGTGATTGTGGGTCATTGTGATTGAAATCCTTGTAAATTGTTTTTCCTTGTGATTGTGGCCCATTTGATTGGGGTTCCATTGTGATTTCGGGTTTTTTTTTTTTTTCTTGGTTATTTTTCTTGAATAATTTTTAATGTCAATTTTCTTCTACTTTTGACACAAAAATATTTCCCCTCTTTTTATCGTATTTCGGGATGCCTATAATGGCCTAGTTTTTTTTTTTTTTTTTTAAGGTTTGGGCCATATTTCCTCGTTTAACTGGGGGAACAAATAAAACTTGGGGAAACGATAACTTGAAAAACCCTATAACTTGAGAACGATAACTTGAAAAACGAAAAACTCGAAAAAACGATAACTTGGAAGGGATAACTTGAAAAACGAAAACTCGAAAACGAAAAACTTGAGAACGATAATTGGGAGAACGATAATTTTAAAGAACGTTTAACTCAAAAAAGGGTTTAATTTTAAGAACGATAACTTGGGGAACGATAACTTGAAAAACGATAACTTGAAAACATAATTTGAAAAACAAAAAACTTGGGGAACGTAATTTTTAAACGTTTACTTGAAAAAACGATAACTTGGAACGAAAATTTTGAGAACGATAACTTGAGAAACGATAACTTGAAAAAAAGAAAAAACTCGAAAAACGATAATTTGGAGAACGAAAAACCCTTAGGAACGAAAACCCGGGAAAAACGATAACTTGAAAACAATAACATGAAAAACGATAACTCAAAACGGTAATTTTAGCGAAAATTTGGAACGATAATTTTGAAAACGATAACTTGAAAACGAACAACTTGAGAACGATAACTTGAGAACGATAACTTGAGAACGATAACTTGAGAACGATAACTTGAGAACGATAACTTGAGAACGATAACTCGAGAACGATAACTTGAGAACGATAACTTGAGAACGATAACTTGAGAACGATAACTTGAGAACTATAACTCGAAAACGATAACTTGAGAACGATAACTTGAGAACGATAACTTGAGAACGATAACTTGAGAACGATAACTTGAGAACGATAACTTGAGAACGATAACTTGAGAACGATAGCTTGAGAAAGATAACTTGAGAACGCCTCTTGTGATCAGCTCGGTTTTTCAATATTGATGCACAAAGCCCGAAGAAACAGTCACGAGGAATGGTTACAAACCGGGCCGCGGGGGCGTTGACCCCCAGGTATGCTCTCTCCCTCCAGGTATGCTCTCTCCCTCCAGGTATACTCTCTCCCTCCAGATATACTCTCTCCCTCCAGGTATACTCTCTCCCTCCAGGTATACTATCTCCCTCCAGGCATACTCTCTCCCTCCAGGTATACACCCTCCCTTCAGGTATGCTCTCTCCCTCCAGGTATATTCTCTCCCTCCAGGTATACACAATCCCTTCAGGTATGCTCTCTCCCTCCAGGTATGCTCTCTCCCTCCAGGTATACTCTCTCCCTCCAGGTATACTCTCTCCCTCCAGGTATACTCTCTCCCTCCAGGTATGTTCTCTCCCTCCAGGTATAATCATTCCCTCCAGGTATACTCTCTCCCTCCAGGTATACTCTCTCCCTCCAGGTATACTCTCTCCCTCCAGGTATACTCTCTGCCTCCAGGTATACTCTCCCCCTCCAGGTATACTCTCTCCCTCCAGGTATGCTCTCTCCCTCCAGGTATGTTCTCTCTCTCCAGGTATACTCTCTCCCTCCAGGTATACTCTCTCCCTCCAGGTATACTCAGCCTCCAGGTATACTCTCTCCCTCCAGGTATACTCTCTCCCTCCAAGTATGCTCTCCCCCTCCAGGTATACTTTCTCCCTCCAGGTATACTCTCCTCCTCCAGGTATACTCTCTCCCTCCAGGTATACTCTCCCTCTCCAGGTATACTCTCTCTCTCCAGGTATGCTCTCTCCCTCCAGGTATGTTCTCTCCCTCCAGGTATACTCTCTCCCTCCAGGTATGCTCTCTCCCTCCAGGTATGTTCTCTCCCTCCAGGTATACTCTCTCCCTCCAGGTATACTCTCTCCCTCCAGTTATAATCTCTCCCTTCAGGTATACTCTGTCCCTCCAGGTATACTCTCTCCCTCCAGGTATACTCTCCCCCTCCAGGTATACTCTCTCCCTCCAGGTATACTCTCCCCCTCCAGGTATACTCTCTCCCTCCAGGTATACTCTCCCCTCCAGGTATACTCTCTCCCTCCTGGTATACTCTCTCCCTCCAGGTATACTCTCCCCCTCCAGGTATACTCTCTCCCTCCAGGTATACTCTCTCCCTCCAGGTATACTCTCCCCCTCCAGGTATACTCTCTCCCTCCAGGTATACTCTCTCCCTCCAGGTATACTCTCTCCCTCCAGGTATACTCTCTCCCTCCAGGTATACTCTCTCCCTCCAGGTATACTCTCCCCCTCCAGGTATACTCTATACCTCCAGGTATACTCTCTCCCTCCAGGTATACTCTCCCCCTCCAGGTATACTCTCTCCCTCCAGGTATTCTCTCTCCCTCAAGGTATACTCTCTCCCTCCAGGTATACTCTCCCCCTCCAGGTATACTCTCTCCCTCCAGGTATACTCTCTCCCTCCAGGTATACTCTATCCCTCCAGGTATACTCTCCCCCTCCATGTATGCTCTCTCCCTCCAGGTATACTCTCTCCCTCAAGGTATACTCTTTCCCTCCAGGTATACTCTCCCCCTCCAGATATACTCTCTCCCTCCAGGTATACTCTCTCCCTCCAGGTATACTCTCTCCCTCCAGGTATACTCTCTCCCTCCAGGTATACTCTCTCTCTCCAGGTATACTCTCCCCCTCCAGGTATACTCTCTCCCTCCAGGTATATTCTCTCCCTCCAGGTATACTCTCTCCCTCCAGGTATATTCTCTCCCTCCAGGTATACTCTCTCCCTCCAGGTATACTCTCTTCCTCCAGGTATACTCTCTTCCTCCAGGTATACTCTCTCCCTCCAGGTATA